TGCCAAACTGGCTCTTCTCGTAGGCGGTAGGAAATCCGGAAAGATGTCTTGTAGTCCTCTTGACCCCAAAGATTGCCAGGGGATAAAAGAGAGGGGTTTCAAATGAAAAAGCCGCATTCCAGATAGAGCCACCTGAGACAAGGTTGCCCGAGGGATTTTGAAGCTAGTTTGGAGGGAGCAGAATCCTGTGGACATCAGTGCCTTGCATTAGCATTAATCATCTCTGCAAATAAATCCAAATTTGGAAGTGCTGCTGCCTGATAAAAATTCTGCATTTATGCCCTCTCTTTTATACCCTTGCAGTCTTTGGACTCAGAAGGGCTAGAAGAGGCCTTCCTGATTGCCCATCACCAACCCAATGCTAAACCCAGGATAGCAAGTAACAATGATGGGTTTAAAAGCACCTGGCATCCAAGCCAACCAGGGTGACTTGGTCCCACAGTGTCATTCATCCGAGCTAGGAAGATCACGGCTGACTCCCCTCCAGCCTAGCCCGGTTATGTTGCTGGAGCTTTTGCTGGCAAGCCTGCTCTTTCGAAATCAGCCCCGCTGCTCCCTTTTGGAGGAGCGGGACCGTCTGTGCATGGGCAGAGAGTTTGGCATCCTGTTAAAAAAGTAGCTTCAGTGCCAAGCAGGGAACAGGATGAATCAAGCTACCGCCATCCGGCGTTTGTAGAGATTTCCCATCTTCGTGCATTCCTGCCTCCGGATCAGCATCTCCTCTGCCAGCCTCGACCTTGCCTTTTATGAAGAAAATGGAAACCGACCAAGTTGTGTGAATCAGCGATTCCGTTTTCTCCAGGGTAAAGTGTGCTACTTCCTCCAGACCGAATGGTATGCGCTGTGCGTGCGTCTTATGTGGCGAGGAAGAATGCCACCAACGTTTATGCAGAGTTCGATTATGGGAATCTGGTGGGCAGAAGCGGGAGATGCCTTTGTGACATACAATCCACTTTTTTTTTTTGTTTCCAAGACAATAGCTCGGGGCTGTAATGGAGGTGGCCAAATGCAAGCCAGAGGCCTTTGAAAACTTATTTTTGCAGCTGGATTCACACACACAGATGGGCCAAGACGGAATTGAAAGAATTTTTCTAATATGGTACATATTCTGAGGCTTTTCTAAGCTTCCCCTGAATTGCTGGATAATTCCCCTCCTCTCCCTTTCTAGCAGAATACCTACCAAAATGTTCTCACCCCCCTCCCCAGTCAGTTCTAACTCTGCATCTTTGCTTTCCTTCTTTCAGCCATACTTCACAACGGTCTTTCTCCCTGATTCTTTCTCATCCTCGATTTGCTTATTTTAATCATCTGTGGGACCTTTCTCGCTCAACATATGCGGAATAAATTTCACAGAGCTTGAACAATTCCGTCCTCCCCTTTTCAAAAAATATTAGGCAAAGCCTTTGAAATGTTACTGTCCAGAAACAGCATGGAAACTTTTGAAATGTCATGCTCAGAGGCTGAAGGCAGGCCAACCAGCGTCTTCTGTGTTGTTCCCCACACCCAAACCCCCCCTAACATTTGGCAGTCTGCAGGGAGCTTTAAAAAAAAAAAAAAGTTTCCTGCATTAACAATTGAATCAAATTCTTTAGATTATTTGATACTTTTTTTTTTATTTAACACTTTAAAAATTGCCCTGAGAAGCTTGCGGACACTCAGGCTGCTGAAGCGAGAATGGCTGTTTTTCCACCAAAGTGGGACTTCAGCCCCTGCGTTTTAGCAGGACATATAAATGTTCTTTTCTCCCTTAATTCCCAAAAGGCTGAGGCCGCAAGGAGAGCCGGAGAGCCTGCAAGGTAAGTGAGAAAAGCGCATGTTAGATTTCTTCAGAGAATGTGCTTGCTGCTTAACGCCAGAGGGCCGTGTGAACTCTGTTTTTAATAAAGTGAATTCCAGTAACAGAAAAATCTCAAACTGCATCAAAGCACACAGGTTAAGTTGTATTAGTATGGAAACTTAAAGCATTTGGGGGGGGAGGGGGTGTTGCATTTTCCAGATGAAAACTGAGATTCATTGGTAGTGCTCTTAATCTTTTTTTTTAAAAAGAGCTTGAATTTGACCACTCAGCCCAGCTGCTTCCCCAGCCCACCCACCCGCCCCCACCGTAGAAGCCTGTCCTCTGCTGATTTAAAAGCCGAAGAGGGTAAGTCCCCTAAAGAGGCATGATATTTTCAACAAATCTAATTATCCTCCATCCAGTGAATGCTTCCAATGATGGCTTAGCAGCTGTGATATGTCAAGAGGCAGGACCCGCCTTGCGTGGTGCCACAGTTGGGATTCTGCACGTACAGCCTCTGTCGCTGCATCTCCAAGGGGATGGTGCCAAGCTGGAACAGCTGCAGAAGCTGGCACTCAAAATAGTCTGTTGGCTGAAACATTTTCCCTAAGAAGGGCAGTTATGCTAGAGGAGCCTTTTTTTTTTCAGCTCAGAACATAAAAAGGGACGTATTTCACTTTCATAGACGCATAAATAAATGTATGCCCTTATACTTTCTGTCTCTGTTGTTTTCATCTAATCCTCTGCAGGCCAGCGTAGGAATATTGGAAGCTGCAGATTAAACTCTTAACGGAGCTGGGGAGGCAAATCATTGGCTTAATTTTGTTTAACTGTAACCCTGGAAATTTACCAAGTGAAAAGTGATACAAGGGCCGTCGGGCCATACTATGGTTGGTGGAATAAGCCACAATGGATTGTGTTAAGCCACAAACGGTAATTATGGTTTAGCGTGAGAAATCCCCCGAGTCCTGGAGATGTTCTTGGGGATAAAGGCTATGCCACTTTCCTTCGCCACATCCCTTCCATTTAAAGAAAAGTCAAGCCAGCAATCCTGATGACCATCAGAGAAGATGCTTGTAGACCAATGTTTCTCAACCTCAGGAACTTTTAAGACATGTGGACTTCAACTCCTAGAATTCGCCAGCCAGCTATGCTGGCTGGCGAATTCTGGGAGTTGAAGTCCACATGTCTTAAAGTTTCTGAGGTTGAGAAACACTATTGTAGACAAATTGTCATCTCCAGATGTCACATTAGAGACTCCAAAACCAGTATCTCTGAGCCTACTTTCTCCCTACCTTGTGACAACTCCAGAAACTGGTTCCAAATTCAGCCCAACCCAGAAAAGCTGGTGATGCTAGTGGCTGATTTGCCTGGATGGTTCCTTCTTGCTGCAGGTGGTGCGCTTAGGAGAGTATCAGGCAAGCTGCTACCCAACAAATGTGGTCCCCAAGTCCCAAACTCAATGTGGAGGAGGCTGGTGTCTCTTCCCACCCCCTCCCTGCAGCTCCAGCATAGACAGGAGCAGCCAAAAACAGGCTTGGATCAAAAGGGGTTAAGAGTTATCCATTCCTGCCCCCCCCCCCAATAGTTGGTGACAACCAGGTGTACTGCTAAGTTGTCAACTGTCAACAATGAACAAGAAAAGACAAGAACGCAACAAATCTATCTGTCTCAGGCTGTGTCGGCCCTTTGAGACGGGCAAGGTCAGAAAAGAGGAAGTGCTAAGTGTCTTGAAATGCACCTTATTGCAGTTAAGGTATTATAACAGAATCTTGAAAGTCTACCAAAGCCCCTCTCTACTGCAACTTATACCTAGCAAAATCAAAGCAAAGTCATTCTGAGTTTCTTTCTCACATTTCTACTTTCCCAGGACCCAAGTTTCTTTCCTTTCTTTTCTTTTCTGGAATTGCTCCACATTCTCTAGACATTCCATCGCAGGCTGATGGACTGTGGTGAACAGGACTTTGGGCCAATCACTCTTTCTCAGCCCAAGAGACAGTGTGGTGTAGTGGTAAAGGAGGACTAGGAGCTGGGAGACCTGGATTCAAGTCCCCCCTCAGTAAAAAAGCTCCATGGGGGACTTTGGATTGGTCATTCTTCTTTCAGCTCAACCTACTTCAGGGGGTGCACCTATGGGAGAAAACTGGAGGACCGAATGCTATACTGTCTTGAGTTCTCATATAAATCTTGAAAAGAAATCAAATATGGAAGCTCAGACATGCGCCCATTTACCTCCACTGGCTTCAAATAACAGCAGCAAGTGCTTGGGATCAAAGGAGGGAGAGAAATTAAGCCCCACAGTGGCTTCTCTCTCTCTCCCTGCCCCCCATGCGCTGATGAATATAGTGTTGAATGGACCAAAAAGAGCTTCAGCAACAGCTTCCATACGTTCAAAGGGTTCCTGCATTCAGGCCTTTGAGATCTGCTCCCTCTACTCTTCTGAACCTGAAAAACCATTCATCGGGGACCAGTTTCCCTTCTAGAAGACCTGCATCTCTTAGAGGCGTAAGGCAAGACTCCTGGGCAGATGCCAGCCTAGTTTGCAGATACATCTGCAATGCGCTGAAGGGGTTCCTATTCTCGTGCTGGCCAAGCCATTCAAAAACGTTTTTCTTAAAGACACGCAACGGGGGAGGCTGTAATGCTGGGGGCCACTTGCAGCACAGAATGATGGAAACTCTAACAGAGCAACTTCACAGCATGTGAAGTTTTTCTCTTTCATTTGAATCACTGGGAGATTTGGCAGGACCTGGGTTGAACCCCCTGCCAACATCTTAGACAAATGACTCTCTTTTCAGCGGCCGTCTAGCGCTGGATTATTATTTGTTTTGGGTAGCAGGGAAACACAGGGCCCGTCCTTGCAATTCTTGACAAGCGGCAATTTGTTCCCACTTCAAAGAGAGCTGGTCGGCCTGCATTAGCCTCTGTTAAGAGGCTGCTAATGGAGCAGAAAGAGGAATCTTTCTGTTGCTAATCAATACTAGGAAAGCTTTTAGCAGGTTCACCAAAGCGGACAGTGCTTTGGCTGTTCCAAATTAGCCATGGGTGAGAAATGGAGCTAGCGGCCACATTTAAGGGAGGCAACCAACTTGGAGGGTTTGGGATTCGATTCCAACAAGATGCTTCGGAAAGCCTCCGTGGCACTCATCTGCCACTCTTTAAAGCAGCTGCCTCTTTTTCTGGAACCACACAACTCTTCTCTGAAGCTGCCACACGTGCCTGGGAAAAGAGGCAGCTGCTTTAAAGAGTGGCAGACAAACTCAACACAGGTTTGCAAATGAAATCTGAAGTGTCGTACTTGATCAACCAACAGCACCATTTATTTTGTGTTTCTAACGGCTGGGTTGCAGCAATGCTGGTTGCCTCTATCTGTTTAAAACTCTCAGGAAAGAAATTGGAAAAAAAACCAAATTTTGGTCCTCTAAGCATCACTCCAAGAAAGAAAAGATCCCAGATTGGGTGTACGGGGTGAAATAAGCATTTTCTCCGTGGAAAAAGAGGAGGAAGAAATAATAAGATTTTTCACCTGTTGGCGCCTGGTAATAGAACGAGACAGAGCGTATGCTCTGGAACCCGCTCATACAGCGTTTTGACTCTGTGGTCCAGGGTCCTGATGGCTTTCTTTAAACCAAGTTCCTGTGGACAAAGTATATAAATACTTTTGTTGAAACGAGCAAAACTACTCAACAAAGTAACACCTATTAGGATACAGGAAGTTGCTTTACAGTAGACAAAAGTTGGCTTAATATTTCAGTTCAAATGTCAATGGCAAATGGGTTACTTAAGGACTGTGGAAATAATAGAGCAGCTGTCTCCAACCTGGTGCCAAACAGAAAGGCTGGACTTCAATTCCCATAATCCCTCTCACAAATATTTTTTGGAATTATAGGTGCTAAAATCCAATATCCTTGGAGAGTAGAAGATTGGGGAAAATTACCCTAAATGGGTCCAAAGGCAGATAGACCTAAATGCATGTGTTTCAACTGATGTAATGTCACAGGAGGTAGCAGCACCTAGCTGGATTAAAAAGCTAAAAAAGGTGGACCTGGTTAGGGGACCTGGGGATAGGAGACCACTTGGAAATCTCAGGACAGTAGACTGGGCTGGGAATCTGAAATACCATTCCAGAAAGTGGCACTGCAATTGGTCCCATGCTGTTCCCGAGAAAGCTACAAGATTGTTATGAACCAACCAGAGGCTGTGCTTCATTTGAGGGATGGTAAAAAAACCTCCTTTTAATTGGCCCAAAATGAACCTTAGTCATCTGAAGGCCTGGCTAAGTCAAAAGGAGTCACGTGCACCTCCCAGAACACGCCAAACATCCAAGTCAAACCCACTCATTTTTGAAGGGGAAAGTTGTTCATAGTTTTGAGCCAAATGAGAATCAACCAAGCAGGATATGAATCAAATCGTGAATAGGTCTGTGAAGAGTCCATGAAACCAGCGCACCCATTTCAGTGATAACAACTGCAGTGATGGACTTCTGCTGGAGATGAAGCTTCACTCATCCCAGAACTATCCGCTGCATGACATGGAAGCATCAGAATCTTACTCTCCTGTAACCTTGGCTTGCTAAAGACAAAGAGCTCACCAAATTGAAGGGTTTTTGCTTCTCCTGGAGTTCTGCCACTCCTCTGCCCTCTTCCTTTGTGAGACAGACCCATCGGAAGAGTGTGGGAGATGTGAGGGCTCTCCTGCTCCGCATGTGGCTCTCCTTTAGAGTTTGGAGGGCTCTGGAGGCACTCTCTGGGGTCTGGAATCCTGCCAGAGAGACCCCCGAACAACACAGCTTAATAGATCGTGTCTGAAATCAGAGCTGTGGCCTTGACTATCATGCTAGGGAATGCTGACCCTAGGGCTAAGGAGAGGGGACAGCCCAGATGAAAACTGCTTAAACTGAAACACTTCTCATAATTTCTCCTTCCCTTCCCTTCCCTTCCCTTCCCTTCCCTTCCCTTCCCTTCCCTTCCCAAGATTGTGAGACCTTGGGAAGAAGGC